GACTGGACACAGTTTCAAAAATGAACTTCTGAAATTATCAAATATATTCCTTTGAACTCAAATACTTTCTGAATAAATTTTGAAATATACTTGCCACGTTAAAACAAAAGAAGTGTACTAAAATAATACAAAAACAAGAAAACAGGATATATCAGAATGTCAAATGGTCAACCCCAGGAAAGGTGAAACACATGTGTATTCAAGGAAGTAGATTTTAATTTCAGGAAATTTGTTAATTCATTTCCTAATTAGTGTTCAATTTGCATATCAGTCCTATAACAATGATTTCCCCCAAGATGTCTTTACCAATTTCCTATGATGTAATTTCTATTTAAAGTTACTCCAAGTTGTCATGTCAAATGGACTAAATTTAAGACTGTACAAGTGGCTGTCTCTCTCTCTCTCTTGGTATCTCTTAGTTGAATGTTGGTGGGGGACCAGTAAGTGTATTTCTAAACAATTTGAATTGAGCACATTATGCCTTAATGAATAGGTTCATCCCTCCCTTTGAGACTGCCCCCAGGATAGGGAATTTGACTTAATAATTACTTTGTCAGAATCCCGACCCCTTCCCACATAGGGGATGCAGACAACCTTTTGAATTGTGAGTTATATAATGATATCCCAGTATAAAAGACCATCTGTACTTTTGGCTCACTTCAGTTAACTAATTAAGTCAACTAAAAATAACATTTGTATGATTCAAGGGTTTTACAAGTATTCTCATCTATTTCACATTTAAACCACAATGATTCAATGGTTTTACAAGTATTCCCCCATGTTTCATATTTAATCGAACAATGTTCACACTTTTCACCTAAAGAAGATGATCTATGATTATAAAAATAGATTCAACACTTTGAAAAGAGAAGTCAAATGATCCACCAGACCAGTGCTGCTAACCTTATTTAATTGGAAATCTATAAAACAGCACCTCCCTATTATAAAAATTCATATTTACCAACAACATTTCTGACGCAAAATAATTCATCAATTTTCCGATCTTTTTATATATGAGAATATGACATAATTCATATTCTCATAATTTCATTTTTATTTGATCCTAACTGTTTTCTGTTTTTCAACTGTTTTTAATTTAAAAATGTGAGCTAAGGAAGGTATATATTTAATTTACAGGTAGTCTGGAATTCAGAGGCACTGATGGAAGATGATAACTCTCTATGGAAGAGTCTTGTACTAACACTGACCAGGAAACAGAAAATGAACATTATACTTGGAAACAAGTGCTTTTTGAAGCCTTATCACTTTGATTTGGCGCTTAAGTAAATAAATAAAATATTTAGTAAATCACTCACTTTTATTTCAAGCTAAAGAATAACTGAAGTCCATTGACATACAGAATGGAAAATAAACTGTGAATCTAGTAAAACATTGGATTCAATTAAATTAGCATATTAGATATTCCTTCAATCTATTTATACTCTGGATGTCACTATATATAGCAAAAAAGAAGAAGCTCATGACCATGGGTGCTTTTGGATATAAATAATTTTCCAAAATATTTTCAGTGCTTCAAAAGAGATCCCGAATGAACTCATTTTTTTGCTTTACAGTGTGATAAATTCTTAGAATTTACTCTTAGCATTGGGCAGATCAGTATTGATGTAATAAATAAAAAATATGAACTCAATTGTCTATTACCCTCCATTATTGCCTTTTAAACCCTGAAATCTGTAAATAAATTGAAAAAAATAAAATACATAACTCACCGCTTTAGATCAATTGTGTGGTACTTCTTCATTTTAAGCTGTGTTGGTATGATAAGTCCAAATGCCCATAATTTAAAAAGAGTTGTCACCATCAAGTAGAACTACACCATGTCTATGTACCATGAGACTACACCATGTCTATGTACCATGAGACAACACCATGTCTATGTACCAGGATATCTCTCTCATATCATACATGATGACCCAAAGCTTTGCTGACTTTAAAGATGTCTGCTGATGGACTGTTTAGATGTTTCTGGGTGGGACTATTTGAAACCAACCAATGTTGTAAAAGATATGTGAGATCATACCTGACTGGCCAAGTAAAATATAGCGTAAATTTCAAAACTAAAAACTTTTTTCAAAGAACGACCTCATGTGGGAGAAATCTGAATATTGAACTATGTTTAGAAATTATCAGAAAATGCAGGAGGTTCGAAAAATGTTTCAGAAAAAGGATAATTGTGAGACCGATTATCATTTTTTGGAATGGAAACATGATGCAACATGTAACCCTATCTGATACAGTGATCTAATTTTACCCCACATTGCGTCAAATATCCCGGGAGTCATCCTTATTTCGCATAATTTCTCTCTTTTATTTGAATGAACCAAACGATTTTCTGGGATTTCTATACAATTCAGAGTGTTGATCTCATGTCTGTCTAATCCATTCGTCACTGATTCCACTCTTTTTGACAATATTTTGAAATTAAAAATGAGACTACGATAATTTTACTCGTGGGTTTAGCTTATCCAGATGATAAAAAAGCATGGTCTCCTATCTCAATTTCCCTTGAACACCTACTCACTGACATACTGGTTCCATGTAAAGTGCAAAAATACCAAAACATCACAATGTTCAAATGTCAGTTTGGCTCACGTACATTTGATGCCCCATGTGTACTGTACCCCATGCCCCTTCAACCCTAGTCATATCATATACCTACATCTTAGGTTCAATTATTTTAGAAATTGATGTCCTTACTTTGGCCCTTAATAATAGTAACCCATGACAGTGCAACATGCAGCTTTAATAAAAACGACCCCATAAAATGTGTGTGCGATCTATACAGGGGCAGCAGGCAAGAGACTTTCCCCTTAGAAGAATGGGAACTAAGTCAATGCAGAAAAGCTCAAAGGCTAAGAAAAACAAAATAATTATCAAAATAAAATATATACATGTACATACAGTATTACCTTCATCAAAGTTTTATCAAGATTATTTAAAATAACTACATGTACAATCATTTTACCAAAACTCCAAACAAACATCCCACGAAAGCACGTTATCCTACTTTTTGAAGAACATTCCATCCATCAATTTTCTCCTATTATTACCATTGTACAAGATATATGTTGTATAGTTCCTATGGCAATATTACTCCAATGGTTACCATAGTTGTCATTGTTACCAAACACACCCTATTACCATATTGAATGACAATCATTGACTATATAACACACAGTCCAAGCCAAAATAGATCAAATACATGTACTACACATATATTGACCTTCTATTCCGAAAATGACAGTTAAAGATAATTTAATACATTAAGACTCGCAAGACCAGAGTATCTACATGGACAGGTCTTACTTTACAATGTTAAAAGAAACTGTTAAGAGAAATTGGGTTAATTTTGGCTTGTACTGTATCATTCCTCCACAATGACAACGTCAATAAACAACAATATCTTACCTCTGAGTGCTAATGAGCCATATGATGCAGAAAAAACAAAGAAAATAGGTCTTGAATAACTCCAAAAATGATAATCAAATGTGAGATTCTATGAACAGTATATAACAGGAAACATGGGTTTTTCTGAAAGGATGTTGTTAATACAGTAACAGATACGCAGGAAGTGTAGATTCTGTATGTATGTACTAGATAAAGCATAAGAATGAGGTTTTATAAGAAATAATACTCCGAAGGCCGAAGGCCTGAGGTTATTATTTCTTATCAAATCGAATTCGAATGCTTTATCTTACTTAAATCACACAGACTCTTATCACAGGCAAAGGGTCTATTATATTACAGTTAAAAGGTCTTTAATCTGGAAAAATGTGATGTTTTTTGTATTGACTATTCAAACTGTGAATTTTGCAAACTTCAACCAGGTTCACAATGACCCTGGCTCTTATTGGTTAGAATTTGTTGTTATGTAGCCAATTAATTGTAACAGCAAAAAGAGTTTGTTGCATTGACCTCATGAGTGTGAGTTGATGTAAGTGACTGAGTGGGCTATAATTAGTCTAGCTTCAGTGCACTACAGGTGACTGTCCAGTCCAGAACATTGAATTTGAATACAGCAGAATATTTGTAAGTAAGATAAGATCGATGATGTAGATAGCAACAAAAATTGATAAATTGTTTTATTCTAAAGAATGCACAGTAACAAGAGAAGGGTACATGTATTTTTGTATATTGTTTTTAGGGAATGAAAACTATCAAAAACTGTCAATGGTCATTTATGTCTCACTTGTTTTTGATAGCTTGCCAAGTGTACATTCTTTAAAAACAATAGAAAAATAATGCACTTTCCTTTTGATAAAACCATACATTCTTAAAAATAAACCACAGCAAATTCTATTGTGTTGCTACCCAAGTGGGATTTAAAGATAAATAAATGTTAAGATTAGTTCATTCTAAAATTCATTTGTAACAAATAAAATATATTTTTAGTCTTGCCATACTCATTTACCAATTTGATCTCTAATCATAAAAACCTCAGATCTTGGAAGTCCAAAATGTAGTCTTGCATCAAGCCTCTGGCTCCCTCTATTTCCATCCCCATGTGTATGTTATGATGGGAGTGGTTTACGAACAAGTATACAATGGCTGGATGCAAGACTATTAAGATTGAGGCACCTTCATGGAAAATATTCACTTGGCATAAAGTATAGCTAACCACCCCTTACAGATTCAGAACTTTTCAAGCAATTTTTATAAAATATAATTTCGTGTTTCCAAGAAATTATGATTGTAATATTCAAGATTTCTCTTGTGTAATATATAAATATGAAAGATAAAACTTGACAATAGTTTGTTTAGTTGATTAGGGTTTGCTCCAAAATAATTCATTTTGCTCTATGACCCTATAAAACATTGCAAAATGCACATGCACCGTTGGTAGATATTTCAAACCAGTAAACACACTTGTTGTTAAGATTTCTCATTGGGAAAAAGCTGTGTGGGTTTATAAATGTGTGTATCTAATGGGGAGAATGCGGTAAATTATTTCACGAAAAACAATTTGCAATGTGACTCACCTTGCTTGGATGAGGGCAATAACTTGTGAGTATGTCTTCCCGGTTACACTTTCCCCATTCACTGACACGATTCTATCACCCGTATTAAGTCCTGCCATTTGAGCGGGACCGCCATCTTTTACTTGCTTCACAAAGATTGTGTCCATGGGTTCTAAAGCACTCAGTTTCCTTGGCTTACATCGCCTCCCTATAAATAAAGACATTTTCAAAATATAACAAAGAATTAACATGCAAAATGTCACCACCTATCATTTGTTACAGACACCGAATGTAGAAAGTCAAATGCCGAACACGACTTTAAATGTAGGTAGTGACAAAAACAATAATATGACTATATCTTATCAATATATTTAAATCTATTGTATATGGTTTATATTTCTCGGAAGACCCTCTAACAGGGACCTCCCCTGTTATGCGTTATACATGAATACAATATTCAAGGTTATTGTTATTCCTCCCATTGGATATCATGTGATATATCTACCTCTTTAAGAACACCACCAAGCTTGAATACTTCATACAACACCAAAATGTTCACCATACAGAGATTCTCCTATATATGAACTCTGAACAGATCTCTGTATTCAAAACAGTTTCAGACACAGCCACATGAAATAAGCTATTCCTTAATATTACACTCTAATAATTACTCAGATGCGAGTAGGTAGTTACCAGTTTCGCCACCAGGTGGCTGATTCGGGGGAAATAACATGGCAGGGTATTACAAAATTCCCTTAACCCTGAATATTCATCAGTTTTAGTGGTTCACTTTTCATATTACCCTTATGTATGTGATAGTTATACAAATTAAAATATGTCCAGTAAAAGAAAAAAAATATTATCTGCCCAACACAAGAAAAGATATTTCACTTTTTGTGGTTTTACAACATGTGGTCTATGGGGAATCTCCCCGACCTAGAAGTCACATTTTCAAAGAAAATTAAATTTTCAAAGTTGATAAACTCTTTTCAAAACCACATTTCTAGATGTAATTTTACATGTAGATTCCAAATATGACATCAGTTGACGTAAATCAAGATTATTTCTACTCGCATCTAGGATATTGGACTGTTAAATACCAGATAAATGTATAAAACAGTTCACACTGCCATCTATTTATAAAGAAAAGAGTAATATTTACTAAAGCATCTAGCATTTCTAAATTGAACTGCTTGATATTTCTGAGAATACACGTTACATTAGCATGAAATTACAGCATAACTTTTCTTTAAATAAGCCTGAGGATGGGAGGGGTGATCCTAGCTTACATGCCACTTTAATAAGGCCATACGGACCTGCTATTTTTGAATTATGATTTACTTGACCAACCATTATATTCTACCCTTTAAAGGGTTCCGATTAGCATCCCGTATAAAAAAAATAATGCGGCTCCAGGCGAATCAACTGGATCAGTCCATTTTTAAGAAATAAGGGGAGTTCTGTAAAATCCAGTTTATTGAAATTGTCTTTGGGATAAAGTAATCCGTTTATAACGATTTTGAAAACGTTATCCAAAGAGTGATTGCGTTCAAAGAATACATGTACAACAGCCAATATAAATCCTTGTATTAGAAACCGGTTTGTCTTGCTTTGTTTCATTTGTAGGATATTTCATATGCCAAGCTGTGTGCTATTACGTTATGGGGAAATTTAGATGCCAATTTTTCCTTATTATACACAAATAGAAGATCCTGAAACTTCACCCATAAATGTGGAATTGATTTGTCAAAATAAAAATCACCCTTTTATAAATGTGTGACGATCTATAATATACTTATGCTATATAACAGTTAGAGGTGTTGACACAACGAGCTCGAACCTGTGAACCCTTGAGTATTATTCCGGGATCGGGCCTTTTATACTAAACGGTGAGCAACACCAGAAACGAGCGTTCGATTTGCTATACGATATGCGTCACCCTTTAAAAGAGCTTTATTTCAACTCAATCTTTCACTAAGAATATAAAGTAAGAAAATCATGATACATTTTCTGCTTTGGTATAAGTAGCCTTTGGTATAAGTACCTCTGTCAAATATCCATTCAAACCATACAGTTTTGAGCATTGAACCTTCCTGGAATTTTTTGAAAAGTGAACCCCTCTTTAGCGAAAGCTGACTACAGCCTGAGAAGCTTACAATATTTCCTCATAAGGTCATTAAAGCTACATTTGAGAAAGCTGACTACAGCCTGAGAAGCTTACAATATTTCCTCATTTAAGCTCATTAAAGCTACATTTGAGAAAGCTGACTACATCCTGGGAAGCTTACAATATTTCCTCATAAGGTCATTAAAGCTACATTTGAGAAAGCTGACTACATCCTGGGAAGCTTACAATATTTCCTCATAAGGTCATTAAAGCTACATTTGAAAAAGCTGACTACATCCTGAGAAGCTTACAATATTTCCTCATAAGGTCATTAAAGCTACATTTGAGAAAGCTGACTACAGCCTGAGAAGCTTACAATATTTCCTCATAAGGTCTTTAAAGCTACATTTGAAATTATTGGTACCTGATCTGCCCCAATTATAAAATTATCTATAACGTTATAGTCAGAGGGAATTATGATTCGCCAATAGAGAATCTGATGAAGGGTATATGATTGGCATGATTATTAAATAATATATTGAGAGTCTCCCTGAAATATAGGCTCATCACTAACTGTCTGGCCCCCTGGCCTCATATTGAAACATACACAGCATTCATTTCATATCACACCACAAGTATTAAACATGAAGTCAGAATTTTGATATCTCAGCCAAATAAGGTAACATACCACCAGAATATAATTTCCAAATGGTCATGTCAATTCCATTCATTTTCTCTATATAATTCAACGAAATGTCTGGTTTTGGGGTATATCTTTAAAATTTAGCATAAACACAACAAGTCCATAAACGAAATTCTCGACTAATTTCACTTTGCTACTCAATTTTGCATTCGAAACCATGGCCAACATGACATTTTATTTTTGAGATAGCGCCAGTCTCAAATGACAGAAATCCAGTATTATAAAAATGTTAAGCAATCTTGTGAAACTGATTACATAAATATTATTTGTACTGCTACTTCTCCAAGTCTGAATGCATGGTTGTATATTTTGTACAGAAGGCATGTCTGAGCCAATAAATCTCTCTCTCTTGTGAACACCTCTCTCTTATGAACACCTTTCTCTCTCTTGTAAACATCTCTCTCTTGGAACACCTCTCTCTTATGAACACCTTTCTCTCTCTTGTGAACACCTCTCTCTAGTAAACACCTCTCTCTTGTGAACGCCTCTTTCTAGTAAACACCCTTCTTTTGTGAAAACCTCTCTCTTGTAAACATCTCTCTCTCTTGTGAACACCTCTCTCTTATGAACACCTTTCTCTCTCTTGTGAACATCTCTCTCTTGTGAACACATTTCTCTTGCTAACATCTTTAGTAACCACAGGAGAAATATGTGACTAGACTGAATAGTCACAAGTTTTCACTGAATAAATGTGTTCGCAACAGAGGAGATGTTCTCTACACAGGTGTTTACGAGAGACATGTGTTCACTACAGAAAAGCATTCATTAGTAAGGGTGTATCACCATAAAGAGAATATTTTTAAGGGAACATGATTTTATAAGTTGAATATTTAGCACAACCATTTACAATGTGAAATAGGTGGAGTTACAGATGTACCTTTAAATAAGCTCTAATTGGGTTAACTGCCTGCTATTTGTGAGACATTAAAGATATCTTATCTTTTTTACGCCTACAATTGTACTATTACAGACAGAAGAATCTTGTATAGTTAAGTACATTACTGAATAAAATGTCAAACATCTAATAATTCTCAACCTTAACTTCTTCACATCATTTAAGGGGTATCTGGTTGATATTAAGGTAGGCACAGATTGAGAAAATCAGTGATTGAGTTAACCAATAAGGTATCTGGCTAGTAAATGTTGGCAGGTAAAATGAGAAATCTGGGTGATTTAACTTGAATCTTTTAAACAGGTTCAGAATCAATCTCATTAGGGGAAGCTTATGCGGTTCAAAGTAAATGCTAAATTAAGATGAGACAAGACAAGATGTTACAATTTGACATTCACATTTAAAAAAAATCTTTACTAAAATTAAACTTCCAAATACTTTATGTTTGATCAAAGCAAAGAGGTGAAAATAACTAAGGAAAAGTCATAATACCCCAGGCAATCATTTGGATGGATTGAATGTGAGAACTAAATGTTATTTTAAAAGCAAGAGTGGGAAAAACAATGTTAAGTCAGTCTAACATACAGGCTTATTAAGTTATCAAAGTCAATTTATTGAAGAAAACAAAAACATAAAGTTCACCATGACAACTCAATTTTGTATCAAGGGCAACAGTGTCAGGTTTACGGTTTTAGTTTACAGCCTAGGAATGACATACCATACAGTAAAACTTGTTTCAAGTGAAACTCAAGGGACCTGCTAAAAGTGTTCTCATTGAGAGGTGTTCACTTTTGAAAAGTGTTCATATATCAGGGAGGGTCAAAAGGATTTCTGGCACACTGGTCAAAATTGAAATATGGATGAATCGTTAAGTTATTTTTCTACACATGAAGTGAATACACTTATTGCAAATGGTTACAATGCAAAGTGTAACAATTTGTTACAGATGCCAAATGCTAACTGTTGATGCCAAGCACTGATGCCAAATGTTGCATGATCACAAAATGATGTTTATAACAGAATGTCCTACATACTTAAAGGTGACATAAAAATCATCTTTACTATATCAAAGCTAACTGGTCCAGGCCCCTGGGTAAGTACTATATCTTGCACCCTTGGTTCACATACAGATGTTTTATTGTACACCGTCTGCTAGTCAAGGACTAGGACATGGTACCCTTCCAAGTGAAATTAGATCCTGTTCACCCTGAATCTTCATAGCCAACATACCCTCTAACCACAACTGATCATTTTACAGTTTTGTTGCTTATTAGTTCTCAAAATCAGCCTTTATGGCCTTTTATGGGAGTTAGAATATAGAATGATCATAAGTTACTTTTAAGGTCTTACACACAGATTACGTACATCAAAGGGTTATCTCTAGTTTTAAGAGTATAGCAGATGTGATTTTTTGCCCAGGGTAACTAGGACAAGGTACCCCCTTTAGAGTAATTAGATCCTGTTTACAATGTTATAACATAAGTAGAATCAAATATTTTGTTTCTGAATGTCTGTTCATTGATTGAGATGAACTTGGCTTGGAAGGGTAACTGAACCGAACCGTTTGCCAATTTTATGGATTTAACCATAAATTTTCTATTTAATGAGCCTAAGGGGTCCTTTGGTATAATGCCTCTTCAAAAATTTTATGTATTAAAAACATAGCACCATTTCTAGATGACAATGTTTTTTTTACAATTTAAATTTTAGCCACCCAGAAGAAGGGTTTGTATCAACTAAAACACCGAAGCTAAGAAGTTCACTGAAAATAATGGTGACCAACCAAAGCAAAAAAAATGAACCAGTTCTATAACCTGTGCTATTTGGATGCCACACATTCACATTACTTCGAAGCACCCCCATGTCCTGCTATGTATCTTTGGTCACCCGGCTCCCTGAATGTAGTGAAGACCATATGTGCGACGATGTGCTCTGTTCTACCACTGAACTATTTATGCATAATGCTTACGTGACATATCTCCCCTGACCACAATATCTCCCCTGCCAACAACATCTCCCCTGTCAACAGTATCTCCCCTGCCAACAATATCTCCTCTGCCAACAATACCTCCCCTGACCACAATATCTCCCCTGCCAACAGCATCTCCCCTGCCAACAGCATCTCCCCTGCCAACAATATCTCCCCTGACCACCACAATATCTACCATGTAGACAATATCTCCCCTGCCAACAATATCTCCCCTTACCACCACAATATCTCCCCTGACCACCACAATATCTCCCCTGACCACCACAATATCTCCCCTGTAGACAATATCTCCCCTGCCAACAATATCTCCCCTGACCACCACAATATCTCCCCTGTAGACAATATCTCCCCTGCCAACAATATCTCCCCTGACCACCTCAATATCTCCCCTGACCACAATATCTCCCCTGACCACCACAATATCTCCCCTGTAGACAATATCTCCCCTGCCAACAATATCTCTCCTGACCACCACAATATCTCCCCTACCAACAATATCTCCCCTGACCACCACAATATCTCCCCTGTAGACAATATCTCCCCTGAAGAAATTATCTCCCCTGACCACCACAATATCTCCCCTGCAAACAATATCTCCCCTGCCCACTAATATGAATAATAAATATTTGGTCACTTACCTTCATTATCATATTCCCCATCAAGACTACCCTCCTGCAAAGAGAAAACATATTAGATCTCAAAGGCATGACTCACAGAGGCATAATCCAAGACTGAGACAAATCTGAGACCTCTCAATTTCAGCATGTCACATCTCAAAAATGCAAGACCATGCTATGAAGATATATTCGAAAGCATAACATGTCCCATTGGTTTAAGAGCCTTTAGTCAGGTATTATCGCTCACTGAAGGACAAATCGTGGCTCCAAAGCAGTCTCAATTGAATCAATTCTTCCATATCATTGAATGGATTTACAATTTTGGAAAATCATGAAATTTTCAGTTTTGGACATTTTATAAGCTCAATCTGCATATTGTTGAAAATAACGTACCATGGGTCCTTATGCTCACATAGCTTGTTCTCTGTTGGCTACTCTCTGATTCTTATACATAAAAAATGTTACTTTGCCTGAATGACTTTATTTTGAGGGACATTTAAAGTTCCATACCTTCTGCAAGGCCTGAATGGCAGACTCAGGTGGGTAGACTATGAAGTGACGCAGAGTAAAGCCAAAGCCATTCTCCGTGCGAGGAACTATGACTGTGCGGGGCCCTGGCCATCCTGTGTTTACCTGGTTCTCTTTGTTACTCTGAAAATACAACAGGGGGACATTATATAACAAGGCATTAACATAAAAAAATGTCTGACCACCAAATGCCAACCACCAAACACTGTCCACAAAAAGTTCCTGGTGGTGACATAAAAACATCCAAAAGTCAGTTCCATGGCTTGCATTCCATTTATTTTTCCTTATTGGGTATATACACACTCTTAAAGTGACCCATTCATGGTTATTTTCCTTGTGTGCTTTTGTAATAAATAAAACATATAGAAAAAGTATACTAGAAAGGGCGCTCTAACTGCTCTTGTGTCTATAGTATAACTTCTTGAACTAAAATTAAATTGTAACCCCTAAATCTTGAATTTCATACCATGAGTATGAAAGAATATACTTATAGTAAAGTTAACACTGTAGGCTTTGGCATATAAGGCATATGGAGCACATGACGATTACTATATCTAGAACATGTTCTCATGCTCTACCTGTACACCTACCCATGCAGAATAATGTGACTGTAGCTCCAACATAATCTCCTCAAAAAGACTCCCATCCTGGGAGGCCTCTACTTTGTTACAGACAACAAATGGCCTCTGACTATCAGGATATTCAAACATTTCTAGCTGATTTCTATAAATCCGTGTAATATTTCAGTATTTAATTCCTTCTTGTATAAAATGCATTTTAGGGTTTTCCCATCTTGAACCTTTACATGAACAGCAATTTAATTGTATACTCCAAGTTATTCAAGTTTATTTATAAAAGAGAACTAGAACAAGTTATGAATAGATTTTTTTCTTTCTGAATATCTAATATTTGAATATCTATGGATATAATGCCAATATATTTCCATGTATATATAGTCACTGGTTTGTATCATATTGAACATGGTTAAAACTTCAAAATTTTGCCAGTCTATCCTATAATGTCCAGTATACTGAAGTACTGTATATACATGAACCTCACTCTTTATAAACAAGTTCCCGCTTTTAAGAATATTATAAATAAAGTCTTATCTTTATGTTATTGAAATCGCTCTATTGAGGACATATTTGAGAGCCCTATATATAAATAGTACACCCCTATTCACCCGTCCTTTATGTGATTTTAATTTAGAAATTCTCTTGCAAAATTCTTGGACTAATCCTCTCTTGAAATGATGAATTCTCTTTGATTTTCACACATATTGTAAGCAGACCCTTGTTTGAACTGAACTTTCTGATCTACTTATCTCACAAAATGTCTCTTAAAATCTCAATAAACGTGCATGCATTTCATTATTTCATTCAATTACCAGAATGAAAATTATGCCTCTGCATATTATATATTGCTTAAAAGATTCTTTTAAATCATGCTTTTCCTCATTCTGAAGAATGCTGACCTTGATATTTCATTTACAGGTAAGTTCTTGACACTGATGTAAAGTTTACATTTACACATTATTTCTACAACCTTATCAGGACCTTAACAAGTGACTTATAAGAGAAATGTAACTCTGACCATACTTTTTTCTTGCCATTTCTCTCTTAAATTCAAATAAAAATCCTTCGATTCTTGCAGATATGTTTAAAACATCATGCCTCCTACCAGCATATTTCTACATCCATTGCTATTTTTTATGTTTATTATGATATTTTATTTTTAAAACCTTAACAAACTTTGCATTTCATTTAAGGATTGGGTTACAAATTGAAGTTCAATACATTTGCACATCTTGGTCATGAAAATGGATGTCAATTCTTCCTTCCTGATATTTTTTAATAAACCTCTCATGATATATATACCTCAGAGCGATGGAATGGAGAGAGTTTAAAATGTGAATTAAATTAGGTAGGCCATAAATGATTTTTTCCTGTTTTTACAGTTCAAATATTCAATGACAAAAACACATTTTCATGTTAAACTTCCAAGAGTATTATTTTAATAAAACTACATTGATAGCTGTAAAGTGGAACACTTCTGTAAGTGGAACACTTCTATAAGTGGAACACTTCTGTTAGTGGAACACTTTTTAGAGGTACCAATGATGTTCTACTTAAGACAGGTCGTATTGTACATTGCATTTATATTCTCCAAAGTCAGCTGAGAAAAAATGTCCTGAATAATCCTACCCCTAATCCCCACAGCCAAAAGCAGATCAAATAACAAGGGTAATCCATTTTTTAATCAACTTAAATTTTATATAAACATAGATTAAAATCTAACACAAATAATATGTACTCCATCTCAATTCACATTGAGAAAATTGAATCAGTTATGTACCAAAAATGTCAAAATTGGTGATTTCACAATCACAATGGAAAAAAGAAAAGCAAATGAAAAACCAAATAGAATAAAGTTCTCCTTTTGTATGAGGGATTCCTAAATTGCTGGTGAAATGATGTTCTGATGATGTCTCAAGATTGTTTAATCTGTAAAGGTGACAAAGATTATCTTATACAAAGATATGACAACATTATTGGCCTCATTGTAAATGACAGGCAAGTGCACCACACTTCTAAGTCCCAACATTAACCTTAACATCATAGTTACCAAACAATTTTCCGGGAGGGTTAATTAAATACAGAACATCATTGCCTTTCTCGTGAAAGAAATTTAATTTATTGTATACCTCATTAGAAACAAAAGGGTTATGTACTGGGAGGTTTTGGAAACAGGGTTTATCCCAAGGGAAATATTTGTATATCCCGGGGGACCACAGGGACCTAGGGATATATACATATTTCCCGAGGGATAAACCCTGTTGTCTTATAAATTTCCAAAATTCAAAAATACGCATTTTCTTAGTCTTACCAGATCAATGAATTGCTAAAATATACAACGTTCGTAAAATTGAAATATAATCTTTATTTTCTGTATGCATAGGAAAAACGAAAGTAAATCGAATTCTCTTTTTAGGACCGGGACCGGGATGGATACAGGCTGTATCCATCCCGCCCCGCTCCTCAGTGATAGATCCCTAGATACAGTATATATCTCCGCTCGCTATTTACCTAGAACCTTAGTAGGTAAGGTATGGAATACAAAACCTTATGTCCTCAATGTTCATCCCTTTTCTATTTTCTCGAAGTGAGCCCAAAAGACAAAGTGTGCTTTTGCAAAGTTACTTATTTGTAAACCTAAAATGTTAACTTTTGACTAAATAAGTTTGCCAAAATTAGGCTGAAAATTCTTGGAATATGGAGGAACATTTTTGAAAAGGGGGCTAAAAACTTAGAATCATCAAATGTTTTGGGCTCCTTCCTCCTGGTATCATTTTAAAAATGGAAATCAAGATGATACCAAATAACTATAATAACAAGGTTTAATAACTACTTACACATCCTAAGTGAGAATATTTCCGACTGTACACCAAAAACCAGACAACATCTTTCTCTAAGGTGTCCATGCTTATATCTGGCCCAATAGCATTTGAGTTTCCACTAAGGTTGCTATGGTTATCGCTCAAATAATGTGACACAATCATTGTTGTCATGGCTGCTCTGTTTTTTTTAAGTCCTACTTCAGTCTAACATTACTATTGTCTTATATTTAGAGCAAGTACATTGTTTAATAAGCTCCAAGGGGCTAGTTTTGACGTGTTAATTAATAAATGTACATTCATATTTTGAGTTTGTTTGACATCACTATAACGAATGTATTTATAAATTTCATAGCACAAATGCAGAGTTGCTTTCATTTAATGAAGCTGAACGGAGCTAAGAAAATTCTGAAGTTCAGGATTCTCCTCATTGTTCATTCTTAATGGTTTTTAGAGGGATATTTTTAGCTAATGTGTTCAGATCAAAAGTATTTCAGTCTGTCAATAGGCGAGAAGAATGAACCATCATCATCTTATTTTCCATCTGCGTGTATATGATATGATATGAATCTTCCAATTCATTTTATATGGGTTCCTACAATATTATTACATCTTTTCCTTCAGTTATTAGCTACCTTTCTCCATCTATACATATTTCTCCATACTACCAAGCCATTGTGAAAGAACTAAATTTCCATTGGGAACAATCGCCCAGACACCAATGAGAGATTTCAGATCAGATATTTCTAAGCCCTATCCTTTAATCCAAACATCCGCTGGGTCCTATATAAAACAGTAATTGAACCATTGTGGTTTCATTGTCCAGCTATATTCCTCATTTTAATATCAAACCATCCTGAATCTATTAAACATGAAGAATAATTATGTTAGTAGGTATGCAATATGTTTAAAAATATAGCTTGTATCCTCAGGGAATATAGGGTTAGACACAAAATTACTCAGTTGTTGATATAACAATAGCTTGCGTGCTCATCACAACTTATCAACAAAAGTTAAGATGAGTATTTAGTGCAATGTTTTGACTTGGAATGCCTTAAAATTTTTCTGAGTAACCATTTGCCAGAAGCAAGAATTTGATTTGACATTCAAGCTTGTGGTTTTATTTTCATAGTGTTTTTCCCACAGTTTCAAATAGGGTAGTGATTCAAACAGAAATATTTCTCCCATTTGCTCATCATTTAAAGTTGGAAAATATGAAACTAAATTTTGGATGAATAAACAAACTGATATAGTTGTTGTTTTGAATGCAAATTATGAACAGTAAAATGATGCAAATATGGAGTCAATGCTGGACAAATGACCAATCGACTAATGTTTTATCCATAACAATTCAAAATATGTGGACAAATTCCAGAGATATCTTGTTCACCATGCTCCAACTACGGCAGTTTGACCAAAAAGGAAAAAAATTAAGGAAACAGCTCTTATGCAAAAAATGCTTATTTTCCAATGCCATCCTGAGATGGTTTTAAAGTCAGTGCTCACAAATCAAGGTGTTCATCTTTGTATATGTCTACTCATGGGCATTGAAACACATGAAGTTATTTTCACATTAATGAAATGTTCACAATAAAGAGGTGTTCACAGTAGAGAGGTGTTCACAGTAGAGAGGTGTTCACCGTCGAGAGGTATTCAAAAGTGAAGTATGATCACAACAGAAAGGTGATTTAAGTTTCAATTTAATTTAGCTTTTCAGTCAAACATGAAC